AGCCACTGTGGTGGACCTTCCCCCACAAAAAATAAATTTAATATCGTTTTGGGCACATGGCCCACATATCAAATATTAAACTGATAAAAACAGACACTACACTTGATTTTAACCAAAACGCCGAAAAAGGTATGATTTGCAATGATGTGTTGCCCCTCTTCTTATAGCTTCCTCGACCACCTCCCTACTCTCCACCAGCGAGGTGGTACTAAAGGAAAGAACGAAGAGAGTCCCTGCTGCACTCGGGCAAACAGTCTTTGCGCCTCCCGTTCGTTTGGACATCAGGCCCGGTAAGAATACACCACGGCAGCAATGCTTCCACGCCCCACTATTACGTTGTTTCCAACAGAGCCTAGCGACCGATTGGATTTCATTGGGCCGGCTCATTTAGTGAATAAATAACTTGCAATGGACGACAGTTTTGGGAAAAAAAATCCTGGCCGGTATTGGGAACCTTCTGAAAAAAAAGAAGCTTCCTGAACCCTTTTTTATTGATTTTTCTTTCAGTTTTAAATTTAATTTTTAATTTTTCTTCTTTTCTTTTCATTTTTGTTTTTGTTTTTTCCTTTCTTAAATTTATTTCCCTTTTTCTAAAAAAATGTTTGTAGAAATTTCAACATTCTTCTTTGAAATTTGGCAATTTCTTCCTGTTTTAATTTTTTTTTTCAAAAAGTAAAAAAATGTTTGTTGTTTTAAAAAATTTGCTTGGAGTTTAAAAAAATGTTTCCTTTTTCAAAATTGTCCACAGTTTCAAATCAAAATGCAATTTCAAAATTTGTTCAAAAATTCAAAAAATGATCCTGATTCTCAAAACTGACAGGTGAGCCTTTTGACAGACCATTTTTCACACAACCTCAATGACATTGCTCTATACTCTGCGTAGTAGTAGACCGAGCTGCAACCTACAAAACTCTGTGTCACAAGATATTTTCCACAGAGATGTTAGTATCCTGAGGAAGATCTTTTGTCACCACACTTCTTGCCCAATCTGCATTGCAGCATCCTTTGTGCTCTCAGTGTTGTCTTTTTGAACCCAAGTCCTTTGCCAAGCCCATTGTGATACAGAGGGAGTACCTCTGGTTCCAGTAGACAGCCCTAAAGATCACTTCAGTTGTGACAGAGTGTCAGGCTTGGCTGGTGATGCCGACCGACCCACGGCATCCTCTGGAATTATCTACACTCTACAGTTATTAACAATTTTGCACGTCACAAAATACAAAATTGCCTAAGTTTGCTGTGTGCTAATCGCCCGGGTGGAAGAGGCCTATCCATTTAGCTCATTAGTTTCACCTCATTTTGCTTTTCATCAGGTATTCAATATAATTTCAGAAGCCTTTTTAAAAGGATTCAAAAAGTTTTCAAATAGTATTGGTTGGGGTGCGCCCGCCTGGGCTGTAGTGCAACGCCCATGCGACAACTGAGAGCCCCAATGGCAAGCCATTGTGGTGGACCCTCCCCCATAAAAAATAAATTTAATATCATTATAGGCACATGGCCCACATATCAGATATTAAACTGATAAGAACAGATACTACACTTGATCTTAGCCAAAAGGCCGAGAAAGGTATGATTTGCAATGATGCCCTCCCCTCCTCTTATAGCTCTGTCCACCATGTCTCCGCTCTCCGCCAGCGAGGTGGTACTAAACCAGAACCAAAGAACAGAGAGTCTCTGTGGCGCTCGAGCAACCAGCCAAGCCAGCCTATGCGCCTCTCGTTCGTTTGGGCTTCAGCAGGCCCGGTAAGAACACCACGGCAGTCAGCAGCCTATAGTTCCACGGCCCAGTATTACGACTCCTTTTTTTCGCTGTTCGTTTCCCTAGCTGAGTGTGTGTGACCTGATCATGCCGACCATGAATGAAGCCACCACACCACACGCCCCCCACCCCCCAAAAAGAAAAACAGACGAGTCTGTTGCGTTCAGTTCAACCTGTAGGGATCGATCGATGTCGACAAAGATGTACGTCACCATGAAGGATCGGGCGAGTCGCGCAAGTGCAGGATGACAACGCCGCCAACGACTACGTGAACGTGTTCCAATACTACATGCAGCTCAAGTGCGAGCATAACCCATAGTCGTCAGGCTCCCGCGGTACATCGTCAAAGCTGAAGAGATCCGGACGCTCCTCTAAGGACTAAGGCAAGCCCAGTTAGTTTGTTGTCTTAAGTGGTGGCTTATTGGTGTTGAGCATTTGCCTCTTTGGTGTGGTTTCAAAGTTTTTCTTGTCCACTTCTCATGTCCATCAAACTCCGAGTAGCAATGATGCAAAGTAAGCGGGTTGGAGCCATTTCTCTTGTTCCTTTATTTGTAGAGAGGAGAGCTTGCATGACGGGCTTGTACTCCTTGATGGCCAGTCCATTTGATGGCGCAAGGTTTGACTTGCAAAACACACCCGGTCCACCGTTTGCATTGGTCTGGTTGCATTGGTCTTGGATTAAAGTCCAACGATGACCGAGAGATCTGGTTCTGCGGTTGGAGGGACTGGTTACATTGCTATTGCAGTGCTTCTCGGTGCTTTGCTAAAATTTCTCCTTTGTTTTGTTTGCACCGATGATAGCATCGAGGTCGACCCAAGCTTCACACAAACATTTGTCTTCCTTATGGTTTTAAAAAATTTGTTTTCCTTGGTCTTGTAGTTGCATGACCTACTCCTCTTCTTGTTTCCTTGATTCTCCTCGACCTCATCCACCACCTCAGCATTTCTTGTTTGCATATCTGGCATTGACATGGCAATATCGCCGAGACCGAGTGTGTGGCTTACATCCAATTTTTCCATGAAAGCGACGGCATTCTCATGCAATTGCTCACTACAAAAGTAAAAGAACCAATCAATCAATAACAAATCATGCATCATATGTACATCTATATATATACATCTATTCTCTATACATACAAATATAAAAATAATAGATGGTTGCGGGAGTTGATTGAAGCCCCCTCCCCCCGCGTCCACCTTGAGAAACCACACCAGCTAGGACTAGGATCTTCTGCTTGTTGTCGTCGTCGTTGATGCCGTCTTGCTTTTGTTACTACTTGTTTGCAGTGATTTGTACAACCACCGAAGGCTGCTCGCTAGGCTAGCATCGCTGGAAGACGCATACCAAGTGTTCAACAAAATGCATAAGCCAACTATAACTTTTATTCCTTTAAGTTTAGGGGGTTGGTTAGGTCCTGCCAAAATTTAGTACAGTAAAAATACTCCGCTAAGCTTTACTCGGCCGGATACTCCTCTATTTTTTTAGGGGATCGGCTAGAGTTGCTCTCAGTCATCTCTTGATATTTTTTCTTCAAACGTTTTTGTTTGTTTGCTTCTATATCTTAGTCTCATCAACTTATCTGTGTAGTTTATCAATCTATGTGATTAGACCGGTTCAAGCAATTTTTTTATGACTTATAGTAGTATTTCTTACTGTGCAAATTTCTTCTTACAACTAATGGCTAATCCGGGCTAAAAAAACTCCAATTTAGTTGTTTTATCTATTACTACTTCTTAGTTCATAGCACATTTCATCTTCATGTACGATGTATGGTAATTCGAGAAATCATTTAACTTTGAGTTTTTGGCACTTAAAGTTTCAGGAAGACCTATGGAGATTTTTCTTTTAAAAAAAATCAACAACTTCTAAGATGCCCGAACTAGTTGATTTGAACAAGCTTTCCAAGGACCAATCTAAAAGGAAGAGGATTGTAGATTACAATCCCAAACAGCATGAAACCAAAGGTAATGGCATAGCTAAAGCTCTTTTTGTTTTTTAATACCGGCCTTCGTTAATGTTTTCATTCATCCTCAATTTAATCATGCTCTTTTTGTTGATGTTGCTGGTTGTAGGTTAGATTGCTATAAAAATGATCAGACCTCCTTTGGTTTGTAGGAACTCTAAAGGATAGGATCTTTGTGGAGAATTATTTTTTTGAAGCCCTTTGGTTTGTAGGAATAGAATCTTATTCATGTATGGGATAGGAACCAATCCATTGTATTTCAATTTTCAAAAGAAAAAAAACCATTAGCCTTGATCCAAAGGAAAAATTCTATCCTATGAACCAAATGGCACCTCTTTCTCTAAGGGATTTGAGATAGATGTCATATCACTTCCTATATTTTTTCTATTCCTATGGTATTATATCTTTCGAACCAAAAGAGGCCTGAATATTCTGTTTTGCAACCTCGGATGAAGTAGTTCATTTTATCTCAAATGGTTATCTTTTGTTACGTTTCAACGAATTTGGTCACCATGTGAAGAATGAAGTGATTATGCCCACATTTTAGTTTACATCGATATTGTTGCCTTATTGATTCATAAATAACTCCATGCATTTTTTAGCCCCCTCTAAAAAAATTGGTCTGCCCTGGAGGGCGAGCTCCTTGTTCGACTCCGCTATGGGGGCGTCCCAATCAATGGGTCGGCTTCAAAGGAGGAGCCGCTACCGAAGCCGGACATGGTGGCGACGGAAGGCGGCGAGGGGAGAGGATGGGGAGTAGAGCGGTTGGGTTGCGATTTTTCGGGCTGTCCGCTCAGACGTTTGGTAGAAGGGTAAGAGGGGTTCGGTTGTAGAAGATCTGCCTCATATATATCTCCGGCTGTCCATGCCTACGTGCTCCAACCGAGGCACTGACGGTGGAGCTCGCCGTCGGACGTGACTGATTGTATGATCGATGGTGGCCGAGATAATCCTTTATTTACAGAAGATGGCGGACGAGATAATATTTCCCAGCAGTTTATCGCTGCCTGGGGGGTCTGCTCAGTCGTCAGCAACGATGTCTGCGGCTGACGTCGTACCGTTGCCGCTACCTGCTCCACTCGAACTCGAGTCGACGCGAATCCACGCAAGCGAGCGGGGCAAGTCCACCGAGTCCCATTAAACAAACCCGAATCCACGCAAGCAAAGCGAAGCGGCTCTCTGTACTACAAGGGGCGCGCGCCCCAGCTGAGAGCTCCTCGCCTCGCCGGCTCGCCCGATCCTTGTCTTGCTGGCGCTAGCTAGCTCCAGCGCGGGTCGATATGGCGGCGGCGATGGTGTGGGTGCCGATACTGGAGGAGGGGGTGTTCCGGTTCGACGCGTCGGAGGCCGCGCGCGCGGCGGCCGGGCCCAGCCTGTCGTTCGCCGAGCCGCGCCGCCGGGAGGTGGTACTGCGTGAGGGGGTGGACGACGCCGGCCGCCCCGCGGTCGTGCCGGAGTGCGAGGTGGTGGGTGACGACGTCCACAGGATTCTCATCAAGGTACGGGTTTTGGTCGTCAGGGAAATGATGTTTACGTGTATACAGTGCACTGTGCCCGTTAACTCTCACTGGGGTACACTTGTTTTTTTTAGGATAAAGCAAAGCTTTATAAATTAACGGTGTACGGACAAGTCGCCCGAAACACAAACAACCACTGAGCAAACAGCCACTGAGGGCGGTACAATAGAGTCCCAGCTAGTGCTATCATTTGGCAAACAACTACGACCAACTTTAGCTAATTCGTGTGCTACAGAGTTCGCACTACGACGACAAACACTGATGGAGTGTTGAGAAAACCACATCTTGAGTTGGAATTTAGTGTCCTCAATGATGGCCGCATAAGGAGATGAATCCACCTTGGTGAAGTCAAGAGTTTCGGACAGGAGCTTTGAGTCTGTTTCGAAAATCACCCGGAGTGCACCAACCTCGGCCGCCATTGAGACGGCCTCAGACATGGCAGTAGCTTCCGCAGCAAAAGGGTTGGCAACGTGTTCCTTCCGTCCCGCACGGACCAGCATGACCTCCCCAGCATCATCCCGTATCACTACGCCCCATGTTACAAAGGACTCGCCCGGGGTGAAGGCTCCATCCAATTGATTTTGACCCTGTCCTTCTCCGGGGGTTGCCATCTGCAGTCCGGTTTGTGTTTGGCCTTTGCACCAAAAAGCTGCATATACTCCTGTGTGTTACTGAACACACGCCGAACCACCTCAGACACAGGGACTGGTAGCTCGCCCTCTCTAACCTTGTTCCTGTGGTTCCACCAATGCCACCAGAATGTGGGCAGGAGGTGACGCGTGGGACGGACGAAACGTGCGGGATGCAGCAGCGTGGCGCGTGTGTGTGGGCAGGAGGTGACATGCATGTAGCGTGGTCACACACACCGCCCACACACACGCGCCACGCTGCTGCATCCCGCATGTTCCGCCCGTCCCGCGGATCACCGACGCGCCCGACGGCACCAGTGCGTCCCGCCCATTCCGCGCGTATCCATCGCGCCCGACGAGCCCAACCGCACACACCGTGGCTTATTCCAACACACACCCCCTAAGCCACGGCCTACAGCAGATGAGTCCATCGTCGTCGATGTCGCAATGGCCGCTCCTACGGCCTCCTCGACGCTTGACACTGCCTCCATGACGCCATGCCCTGCACGCCCCGGCTCGCGCACACGATCACGCACTGACGTGATCGACGCGGCCGCCCTGCGCTCCGCTAGACGCGTTCTCCCCCGGTGATCCGCGCGCCCGCAGTCCCGACGCGCCCGACGCGTCCAGTGCGCACCCATAACACGCACCGGTCACGCCCGGCTCGCCGCCACGGCTTATTGCCCTGCACCGTTGCGGCCTCAACCGCAGCGCAGCGCCTCCACAGTCGTCGCGCCGAGCCGCCGCGGCCTCTGCGACACCACGCAGGTCCTCCGCGACCTCCTCGTCTCTGCGACCGCCGCTGCTCGTCGCGCGCACGGCATCACGCCACACCGCCGTGGACTCACCGCGCGTTGCCGACGCCACGCGCTCGCCGCGTGCCCGGCATCACGCCCCACTGCCATGGACTCGCCGCGCGTTGCCGATGCCACGCGCTCGCCGCACGCCGTTGCCAAGACCTTCATGTCCGCCGCGCACCGCGCGCGCCGCGAGCGCCGCCGCACGCCACGGCCGCCCCTCGAACCCGGTCGCTCTAATACCAATTGTTGTTGCAGCTCTTTCTCTCTCTCTCGTAGTTGGAGGTAGAAGAAGGAGGAGCACACAGTATCCTGGAGTTTCACCCGGCTTCACAGCCCCATTACTATTCCCAGAGCACCAACTCTATTCAACAAATACATGGTCGCGTCCACGGCTTTGTAGCCCTACAGCTACGCAGCGCCCACGTCTCCTGCGCATACATGCAAGTAGCGGAGCGAGCGATCCGCCCGGCCAACGACGCGCACACAACGCACTCGATCCATCTGATAGTAACAGCCTTCCTACTGCATGGTGCATGCACAGCTCCTCCACGCTACATGCATGTCAAGCTAACTAACTCCAACACACACGCACACGGACTCATGCACACACACGCACCTACGAACCTGATGCGGCCACACACCGCCCACACACACGCGCCACGCTGCTGCATTTCGCACGTTCCGCCCGTCCCACGCATCAACGACGCGCCCGACGAGCTCGCCGCCACGGCTTATTGCCCTGCATCGCTGCGGCCTCAACCGCAGCGCAGCGCCTCCACAGTCGTCGCGCCGAGCCGCCGCGGCCTCTGCGACATCACGCAGGTCCTCCGCGACCTCCTCGTCTCTGCGACCGCCGCTGCTCGTCGCGCGCACGGCATCACGCCACACCGCCGTGGACTCACCGCGCGTTGCCGACGCCACGCGCTCGTCGCGTGCCCGGCATCACGCCCCACTGCCATGGACTCGCCGCGCGTTGCCGACGCCACGCGCTCGCCGCGCGCCGTTGCCAAGACCTTCATGTCCGCCGCGCACTGCGCGCGCCGCGATCGCCGCCGCACGCCACGGCCGCCCCTCGAACCCGGTCGCTCTAATAC